CACTCAAAAAATTAGTCCGAGAATCAAGTATTAGGAATTGAAATGCCATTTTTGGATCCTATCCATCCAAACAACTTCAATGAATTTGAAATCCTTGTGGTTCGAGCTAGTACAATTTTGTGTGTTCGTAATCGGATGCTTGAAAGTTTAAATATGATATTATATAACTTTTGTTATTGTTTTGCAGGAAGGAGCATTTGCACAGCTTAAGCTATGGCAAAGTGTGTCAATAGCAGTTGTATTTTTCATCAGTACTTCTATATCGTTGCAAACGATGGTTGTGACCATGCTCGTGGCTCTCTGCATCTCGTTGGCTGCGTTTCTTTTTCTCACACTCAAGGTGGAGAAAGCGTTTTCTTACCGCTCTGCTTGAGTTTCACAAGGTCAATTTCTTTTACAATATTCTTTCTAAATTTGTGCTTGTAGGAATATTCCGGTGTGGTGTTAATTCCCCTAAATATTTGTAAATCATGCATACCTTGTTTGTTTGTGCGTGCATGTTCTCTATTGTACATAATTCGATCATTGTGTTTGTTTGTTTGTGCGTGCATGTCCTCCATTGTACATAATTCGATCATTGTGTTTTTTCTCAAATTCGGGAATAGAACCCGCGACCTAACACTACACTTCCGTCACCCTGACACCACTCGGGCAATGCCCTTTCAGTAAATTGATCGTTGTATTTGGAACAGATGAAGTTCGACTTGTTTCTTCGTAATCGGGAAATTACAGTTTATGTCCCTCAAGTTTGCACTAATTTCATATATGGTCCCTAATGTTCACAAATAACACATTTGGTCCCTTATGTTTCAACAATGTAATACTTTTGTTCATTTCCGTGAATTTACCGTTAGTTTGTCAGTTAAGACTTAAAACAGTGATCAGCACATGCTTGATTCCATTAGATACTAACGGAGCTGACCACAAACGGGTGCGAACCGGACGTTGTGACATACGGTACCTTAATTCAGGGTCTCTGTAAAGCTGGAAGGACCGAAATAGCCTCGAGGCTTTTGAGGAGTATACAGATGAAGGGAATGGTTTTGACTCCACGCGCTTACAACCCCGTTTTGCAGGCACTGTTTAAGAGGAAGAGAATTAAAGAAGCGATGAGGCTATTTCGTGAGATGGAGGAGAAGAGCGAAGCTCCCGATGCGGTGTCGTACAAGATTGCCTTTCGTGGGCTTTGCTGCGGCGGAGGCCCGATTGCGGAGGCGGTTGATTTCGCCGTTGAAATGACGGAGAGAGGGTATATTCCGTATACTTCTACTTTTTATATGCTGGCTGAAGGTCTTTGTGCTTTGGACATGGAGGAAACTCTGGTGAGTCTTGTGGAGAAGGTGATGGTGAAAGCTAGGTTTTCGGATAACGAGGCTGCTATGGTGATGGGGTTTTTGAGAATACGTAAGTTTGAGGATGGGTTGGCTAGTTTCGGCAGGGTTTTGAACAG